TCCTCTCCCCTCCTCTCCTCTCCCCCAGAGGCTTGGGTGAAGCGCTACCGGCGGCAGCTGGTGAGGTCCATCTCGCCACAGTTCCTGGAGGAGATCATCTGCCACCTGCAGGAGCTGGACCTCCTCACGGCAGAGGAGGCCGGCCGGGCGCAGGGGGCGAGCTCCCTGCCCGAGCAGGTGAGGGTGGTGGTGGACGTCCTGGCTGGCAAGGGCACCTACGCCTCCCAGTGCCTGCAGAGCTTCATCGAGACCACCAACTCCCAGCTCTACCTGCACATCACTGTCCATGGTAGGCAGTCTGCTTTGGAGCCGAGGATGGGTGTCTGCACACGTGCCCTGGAGCTTCCTCCAGGTGTGCCTGGAGCTGGGCAGCACTGGTGGCTCTGATGGGAGTGTCCAGGCCAGCGACGGTGCCAGCGCGGGGCATCCGAGGGGGAAGGACACGGCCGGGGGTGATGGGGACTCTCTGCCAGGTCTGAGGGACCTTCCTCCAGGCTGCCCTCAGCAAAGCTCTGTGGGCAGCCCGAGGAGTCTTTCATGTCCTCACTGTCCAGATCACACCAGTCACTCCAGGCAGCAGGGCTGAGAACAAGGGGCTGGCAGGAGGAGGACAGCTGACCCCATTCCTTGGTGGCTGCTCCAACTTTAGGCTCTCCTTGCAATCCTCTTGCCAGAACATGTTCCCCTGTTTTCCTTCCTGGTTGGAAAGTTCCAGCCTTGGCTGGTTGTCTGCTCCAAACCTCTTGCAGCACCATCCCCTGCTTGTCCAGCCTTTGCTGGGGGGCTTAAATCTGCTCTACCTGAGACAGGTGAGCAGGACAGGTCCAGAGCTGGTCACCAGGTTCAGCCAAGAGTCCAGCCCATCAGATAAGTCCATGGCAATGAGACAGGGCTGAGGTCAAGCCAGGAAATCAACACAGAGGTCAGGATCAGGTCCAGTGAAGGCAACCAGGTTCAGACACAGCCCAGTGGTCACCAAGCAATGAGATCCAAGATCGAGGTCCAGATCAACGAGGTCCATGATCAAGGTCCAGATCAACAGGGTGCACCACAGGCACAGATGCAATGGTGCTGTGGACAAGTGCTCCTACAACATAGCTTAGGCAGGGGCTGAAGGCCCAGGGCTGAGCTTAAACGGGCTCCTGGACCAATGGGTGAGGCTGGTGGGGGCTATTTAAGCCCATCAGTGCCACCCTGGCCCTGGCACGTGCCTTCCTGCCCTCACTGAAGGGCTCCACGGGGCTTCCCCTCTGCGAGGATGCCCAGAAAAGTGAAGTGGCGTCTCCCATTTGCATTTGTGGTCAGCACCCTCCTCCTCAGCTCCTCGTTTCATTTCTCTCTGTGCAGAACCCATGGTGCAGAAGCACCTGGAGAGCCTCCAGAGCTGCTACGGGAAGGGGCTGGAGACGGGCGCCCCGCAGCGACTCAGGAACCTGCTGCTGGTGGAAGGCTTGACCGACATCCAGCAGAAGGAGCACGACATCCTGCAGATTGAAGCCACCAAAGGCCTACGGAATGCCTCCAAGACCATCCCTCTGGAGAAGCTCTTCCTGCCTCTCTCCAAGGTCAGCATCCCACCTCGGATCTCCGTCACCGTCGGGGTGGCCGGCATTGGCAAGAGTACGCTGGTGAAGCTGTTTGTCTACACCTGGGCCAAGGGGGAGATCAACAGGGACATCCTCTTTGTGCTGCCCTTCACCTTCCGGGAGCTCAACACCTACGAGAAGCTCTCTGCTGAGAGGCTCATCTGCTCAGCCTTCCCTCACATCACCGAGCCCAACTGCATCTTTCAGGACCCGGCTTATCCTCGACGGCCTCGACGAGTTCAAGACCCCCTTGGATTTTTCCAACACGGTCGTGTGCACCGATCCCAAAAAGGAGATCCAAGTGGACAACCTGATCACCAATATCATCCGTGGGAACCTGCTGCAGGAGGCTTCTGTCTGGGTGACGGCGCGGCCGACGGCGGCCGGCCAAATCCCCGGGGGGCTCGTGGACCGCATGACGGAGATACGAGGGTTTGGAGCTGCCGAGATGAAGGACTTCTTGGACCAGATGTTCCTGGACAACAGAGACCTGTCTGGCCAAGTCCTGCGTCACATCAGGGCTAACAGGTGGCTGCACGTCCTGTGCTCCGTTCCTGGCTTCTGCTGGATTTCCGCCTCCTCCATCGGTTATTACCTAAAATCCAGCGCCGAGCAACCCCGGGAGGCACCCCCTGGCCCCAGGACCCTCTCCGAAATCTACTCCTATTACTTTAAAATGGCCCTGAGCGGCGACAGGCCAAGGGAAGGACTCAGGATCGAGCAGGCCATCAACACCAGCAAGAAGATCGTGGGCAGCCTGGGCAGACTGGCCTTCTACGGGCTGCTCAAGAAGAAATACGTGTTCTACGAGCAGGACATGAAGACTCACGGCGTCGACCCCTCCTCCCTGCAGAGCAGCTTGGGCGGGCGCCTCCTGCTCAAAGAAGAGCTGCAGTCCTCCACGGCCTACTACTTCTCCCACCTCACCCTGCAGGAGTTCCTGGCAGCCCTTTACTATTACACCGCGGCGAGGAGGGCGCTGTTCGACCTCTTCACGGAGAGCGGGATGTCCTGGCCCAAGTTGGGGTTCCTCAACCACTTCAGGAGCGCCGTCCAGAGGTCTCTGCAGGCAGAGGACAGGCATCTGGACGTCTTCGTGCGTTTTCTCTCCGGGCTCCTCTCCCCGCAGGTGAACAAGGTGCTGTCTGGGTGGCTGCTGGCGAAGGACGAGCACAGCAGCTTCAGGAGCCAAGCCATCGGCTTCCTCCAGGGCTGCCTGAACACCAACTACGTCATCTCCTCGCGGGCGGTGAACACCATGCACTGCTTGTCTGAAATCCAGCACACGGAGGTCGCCAAGACGGTGGAGGAGGCGCTGAAGAACGAGAGCTTGGCCGGGATGCTCAGCCCTGTGAACTGCTCTGCCCTGGCTTACCTCCTGCAGGTCTCCGACGTGTGCGTCCAGGAGACCAACCTCTCCAACTGCCTCACCTACAACGTCTGCAAGAGCCTGCTCTCCCAGCTCCTCTTCTGCCACAACCTCAGGTGAGTCCTGGGTGGGCTGCAGCGGGAGAAGCCAGCGGGGACACTGGGGTGTGACTCCAAACCCTGGGTGCCGATGGGAGACATGGGCCACCAGCATTGGCCATCCACAGAGGGCTGCTCTGGGGGTGGCACTGGGTCAACTCTGCTCCTGTGCTCGAGTTTGCCCACCTGTGATGGGCAGGCATCACGGGAGGTTAGTCCTTCCTCCACTTTGCTCTCCAAACACTGGCTTTTGCTCTCTCCTTGTCTCTTCTCCAGGCTGGACAATAACCAGTTTAAGGACAACGTGATGGAGCTGCTGGGCAGTGTGCTGAGCGTGAAGGACTGCCAGATCCAGAAGCTCAGGTAGGACCTGGCCCAAGGCAGAGAGCCCTGTTCCTGGGGATGCAGAGCAGAGCTGGGAGAACCTCAAGACCAGGGTGGGAGTCCTCCAAGAGCGTTTCTCCCACTGATTCCTCAGGGTGCCTGGTGATAAAGACAGCCCTACATCATCTCCTGCACCCAGGCATGGTGACCATACCCCCTGTGTCCTCACAGTGGCCGGGCAGGCTGTCTCACCCAGCCCTCCCAGGACTGCTGTCTCCTCCTTCTTCCTAAAAATTTGTCTAGCAATCCATGGGTTATCCCAACAAAACCGCTTCCCAAGGTCACAGCCATTTGCTGGACACGTGAGGCTCCTCATGGAGCAGCTGGTGTATGGAGGGGACATGCTCCCAACCCCCACGCAGGGAGGTGCCTCACCCCAGACAGATGGGTCCCCACCTTCCCCACCCTTCTTTGTGGCATGAATCAATCTAGAAACTCCTCTTCCACCCTGTCCTTGCAATGCCCTGCCTGGTGTCCACCCCAGCCAGCAGACCTCAGAGCATCCACCACTTTGCACGGTTGCTCCACACACCAACCACTCCCCATGGCTTTCCTCAGCTCCCCCATCCCAGCTGCGTGCTGGGACACGTCAGGGGGCTGCAGAAGCCTCTTTCTCCCCCTGAAAAACACCCAATTTTTCTTTTTCTGGGCAGCTTGGCAGAAAATCAGATCAGCAACAAGGGAACCAAAGCGCTGGCCAGGTCGCTGCTGGTGAACAGGAGCCTGATGGTGCTGGAGTAAGTGATCCCCCTTTCCCAGCTCCTGCCACAATCCCACCAGGAACCATTCCCGTGGCTGCAGTGGGGCTGGATCCCACCAGCCTGACCCCGGGGGGAGGGTCTCCAGCCCCCAAAGCCACCACTGCTCCAGAGGGGAATGTAACCCTCACAAGCGAGCTGCTGGCCTCCTGCCCCACCTCAGCCATGCCCGAGGTTGTGCCACGGGGAGACCTTTGGCTTGACCTTGAACCTTGGCTTTGCTAACCTTGGCTTTCCTGCCTGTCTCCCCAGCCTGAGGAGCAACTCCATCGGCCCCAGCGGAGCAAAAGCACTGGCTGATGCACTGAAAAAAAACCAAGTCCTGCTCTCCCTGAAGTGAGTCTCAACTTCTGCAGCACCTCTGGGAGCAGATCCCCAGGATGAGCCCCCTCTCCAGCCCTCTCCTGTCCCACCCATGGAGGTTTTCCTCACCTGCAGGGCCAGGGCACAACCTGGTTTGGGTGTGCTGGGCAGCCAGCACGAGGGCAGCCAGCAGAGACGTGCTGACCAGGGTAGCACTGGGCCAGAGATGTTGGGGTCCTCCTGCTTCCCAGCTTCCATGGGTCCAGGCTGAGCTTGAGGTCGAAGTCAAGGTCAGAGTTGAGGTCCAGGTCCAGGTCCAGGTCCAGGTCCAGGTCCAGGTCCAGGTCCAGGTCCAGGTTCAGGTCCACCCCTTGTGCAGGAGCTCCCAGGGCATGGTGCATGGGAGGAGACATCTCCCATGGGAGAATAGGAAGGGAGAACCCTGGCTGGGGATGCTCAGGGGTTCTTACACCAGGGATGGGGACAAGCAAACACCAGGGCAGGGTCACCACCCTGCACGGCCCTTGTCCTGCTGCAGAAGTAGCCGTGCACAGCCTTGGTCCTCTCTCCTTGCAGCCTGCAGCACAACACCATCAAGGAGGACGGCGCTGTCTTCCTGGCCGAGGCTTTGCTGACCAACCACACGCTGACGACCCTCCAGTGAGTGCCTGGCACCTGCCGTCCCCCCTTCCT